ATATACTTAGGGTAGTACCAAGTTCTTAACAACTAAAATGAGTCTTTTAATTCTGATACTAGGTTCAAAAAAACAGCTCTCTCACATAGCCAGGTTCAGTTACAACCACACAAACTCATTTAGATATACCTGCTAAAATATTTTCATGTGCAAAAAAGAACTCAAAATAAAAACCAATTGTGTTATAACTATTGTTATCCCCTCACACGGCTTCAAGAAAAAACAGCCAGGTTTTATATACACTGCAGTAAGTACAGAATGTACAGAAGACTGTCGTATATACAAAAGTGCATTACTTTAGAATACATTTTGCAGGAATACAGGAAAAAAAGTCCTGGTTGACAATCTGATACTTTACAGTATCTAAGACTACTTGTAGATTCTCCAAACCAGTCAACTTCCTACTTGCTTTGGTTATATTGATTCTACAGAACTACTTTTTGAAAAGAAGGGAGTGGAAAGTCCAACAATTTGCAACTCTTAACCATCTATGAGATGTTTTATGTGTATTTGTGATTATTATTAACTTCTTTTGGTAACAGTCCTATTAAATTGCCAACACAAAGATTTATGTATTTTTTACTCTAAACAGGAAATTAAATTCACCCACTACAGGAAGAGACACTACCTGCCCCATTTTCCAAAAGCTTTGAAATCTCAATGTAAACACAAGAGATCAGCTTCAATTTAAGAACAAGCAACTTCTCAGAACAAGCCATGGCTGTCCTTCTAAACAATTCACCCAGCTTAAGTATGTACCTGTCATCTGTACATGGTAATTCCACATTTACATTGATTGACGTAGTCAAAACGGATATTAGTTAATTAAGCAATTCTTCCCTTTTCCATCCTATCCATCACCACAAAAAAAGAACACAGATTTCCACAAGTTCCATTCACCACAAAGATGTAATAGAAGAAACCTGACAATAAAGAAAAATTACTACATATTGAGATTAGAAAAGATCACACCGGTTTTTCTGAGTTTGGCATAAATGTCAAATTAAAATGCAATTTGCCATCGTCTGGTTTAGGCTAAAATATCAATAACCTCAATTCAAAAAATATGCAGGCAGTGAGCCACAAATAAATTTTAGTATTTAAGAAATTGAAGTGTAATTGTAGTGTAATTGTAGTGAGCCAGCTTGTATCTTGAGCTATGCCTTGCAGCTTCTTTTGTCTTAACAGCCAGTGACAGGAAATGTCAGAGTTTGTTCTAAGTCTCATAGAGAACACAAATTATTTTTCAGAAACCAAATTCAAATATTTCAAGGACTATCTTTCTAAATTACAGACTTACAGAAATGCCTAGCTCAAAATACCTCAAAGGCTTCTTACTTAATAATGTTCAAATATGAGATTAAATTCATCTCACTTTACTAAGTTCTAATCTACTGCAAATCTATCATATTAGATTATTTGCTCAAAAAGATGGAATTTATCTCTAAATTAAATTAGTCGAATGTCAGTGCATTCAACATCAACACTACTGTGGAACACAAACGAACTATACTACCAGCAACCAAAACTATCTTTATCCTTCATCAATTCCCAAGAAGAATTCTTGAAGACAGTGCTAAGAGGTAATTTGTTAAAGCAAGGAGAATAGGGCGTCTCAATGATTACACAAATGAATCCAAAGAATCCTTAAAGTTAACAGAAGAAACACCTTTCTATATAATTTTGGCTCTTCAAGTGTTTTTGTACAGACCCTAAAAATTTTCTTTCCTGATAAACTCACCTAGTTTAAAAATATATATTCCCCAGGTAAATCTGGGTCCCAAATACCAGGGAAGCTAAGGAGAAAGGATCACAAGTTCCAGACCAGCCTGAGCAACAAAACAAGTTCAAGGCTAGCCTAGAATGTGTAAGGAGACCTTGTTTCAAAAAGAAAAAGGAAATAAAGAGTATCCTAGCCTCAGATTTTTTTCAGTGGGACAAATATATTAAGCAAAATTTTATGTAAATGCAAGGCCCTTCATTAATCAAAACTAGTTTTAAGCAAATGAATCCAAGCTCTGAAGGTTTTTATTTTGTTTTATATTCTATTACTACTGATTTATGTTTTACTAATATCCAAACACCATGAGCATTATATGAACCAAATGGTAACATTCTGATTATTTGATTTTGACAAAGCCTGATATAGATGCAAATGACAAAGTGCACCACCTTTAAGGCACATGAGGCTACAGAGAAGTCATGAACAGAAAGTCTGCTAAGAGAACCCAAAACAAAAAGACTGACATAGAGCTTATGCTGTAACATTTTTGGCTTAAATATGAAGATATATAATAAATTTTATAATGTTTAAAGCTCATCAGAATCTGGATACCTTTATACAATGGTTTTATATAATTTTTCCTTTTTGAGGGTATTTACTTTTTAAAAGCTAGAAAAAAATGAGCCATCTACCCACACTATAGGTCATTTTTTATAAATCAGTTTCTGGAACTTAATTCAGAAATGTCTAACTTACCCAAACAACAGAGGAAGTCAACTAAACTGTCACTATCTACCAAAGAATGAAGAAAAAGTGTCATTTGACTTTAAGTTCTTGGTAAGATAGAATGAACTAGCCCTTTACAAACTACTACATTCTAAAACAACACCTTCCTTTAATCATTTGCAAAACTGTATAAAAATACATGCCATTTTGCTTAATTCATTGTTCACACTTTTAAAAGCTGTAATAAGGACTGACATACACTTATAAGATCTCTAATAAAAAGTCTCTGGATAAATCTATAAAGAGAAGACTTATTCACTCCACTGTCAGTTGTGGACAGAAGATAACCAAAACTGGAACAAAATCTGGACTTCTGATCATTCATTTATCCATACATATTTATAATGTACTTCGATCATATACATCCACTATTTTTGCTCCCCTTTTCACCAGAGCCTTTCCTCTTCCCAAACAGTATCCCTTTCTAGTTTCATGTGTTGCATTTTATTGAATCTATATTACACTTGTAAAAAAAATGCAATGTTTGTGTTTAGGAATCTGGCTTCCTTTGCTTAACATGATCTCTGTCTAGTTCTATCTTTTTTCTTGCAAGTGACATAATTCCAGTCTCCATTATGGCGGAATACAACTCTGCTATCTATATATGTTACATTTTCTTTGTCAATCCATCTCCTAATGGGCATCCATTAATTGGCTATTGGGAGCAGTACTGTAATAGACATGGAAGCGCACACATAAATCCCTGTCATATGCTGAGTTCATTTACTTTCAGCATATACCAAAGGATGGTATAGCTCCATCATAAGATAGTTCCATTTGTATTTTTTTAAAAAAAGAACTCCTATACTGATTTCCACTGATACAGCCAGTTTATACTATCATTAGCAGTATATACATATTCCCTTCAGCCATTGTGACTGGAGTAGGAAAGACTCACCACTTTTGATTTGGGTTTCCCTGATTTTCCTTTTAATTAACTGATTAAGTAGGTTTTCCACTGAAAAGCAAAAAAAAAAAAAAAAGATGCTGACTTGAAGTTGTTTTAAACATACCTCATGGAGATACCAGATTTAATAAATTACTACCTATTTCAAACAATTCTCTCTGAATTATTTACACGAAACATCCTAACAGATAACAGAGCACAGATAACAAAGACACGAAGAGACTTTTGCCCTTTTGCGATAGTTTGTTTTGGAGGAAAGGAGAAAGATTTTAATCTCTCTCTCCCCCCCCCTCTTAGATCATAAACAATACTAGGAGTTCCACGTTTTTTTTTTCTTTTTTAAATGAAAGCAGTATTTTCAATCTCCACCAACTCGACACTTTACATTCCAGTTCTAACATATAGAGTGAATCTGGACTTACAGAAAATTTCATGACATACTTCTATAAATACTCAAACCTTTATAAACTTTAAAATCTGCCCATGGCACTTTGGTAAACTTATTTAATAGTGACTTAAGTTAAATCCAAGTTAAGAAGACTACATGATTTTTGGGAGAATAGAGAGAGACATTAGTTTTAAATTATATCCTGAACCAGTTTTGGATTTTCTTTTACTGAGCATCAACAAATGAATAGTTTGCAAGTGGGTGATGACTAAATGTTGCCCTGTATCTCAATGTGGCCCACCTTCCTTAGAGAATAGGAGGAACATGTGGATTATTTCCTCTGTGGAATTTTGCTATGACTAAGGGAAGACAGAGAGTTGAGATGTATTTGCTTCTCTTCTTTTTCTATTTCTGTACTTAGAAGGGAAAAATGAGTACATTCTTTATTAAGTATTCTAGGATCTGACCCCGAGATCTCTTTGGCCTCTCTAATCTAGGATGGAGTACCAAAGGAGGGAGGAGGAAAGTCAGAAATACTACTTTAACTAAAAGCACACATATTCATGTTTTTAATCTTCGTAGCATTTTAAATTCAGATCTTAGTAGGCATTCAAAAGTTACAGCCAGACCGCAGGCCTCAGCAATGCAGGGTACCAATTTTTACCCTCAGTTTCAATTCTTTAGCCTTCAAAGAAACAAAATAAAATTTAAAAGTTTTAAATGTATACAAAATTTGAGTAGCACTATGTAGCCCAGGCTGGCTTTGAACTTACAATCCCACCTCAGCCTCCTTAATGCTAGAATTAGAGGTGTGTGCCAACATACCAGGATTAAATCTTCACTTTTTAATTCAGTAAAGTTTAAGCCTTTATAGAAACCAAAAATTAAGAATTTTAAGTTGTTAATCTTTTTGAAGGACTAAAGTTAAATAATTTTGAAACCCTATTAACCTCTGAACTCTGTAGCCTTTTCAAAAGATTACATAGTTTGCTTTCTAAATGCAAGAGTAAAAGTGAAAATCATGAAAGTCAGAAAACAAGTTGATTGTCAGTAGTCTCAGTTTGTACCATCTCCAGCCCATGCCAATGCTCAGACACATAGAAGAAAACGAATCATGCTATTTCTAAGTTCATGATAAGGAATTCTTTGAAAACATGATGAAAGAAACTCCATGATTTCACATTTAGACTTGAGAGTCCTACTAGGCACCAACAAAGGTGTTTTTTATTTTTATTTTTTACAGCATACTGCTTTGTATACCACAGCAGTCTCTTAAAGTTTGTTGAACTCCAAGCGGTCAGTTTATTTGAAACATCAACCTGTCCATATGTCAGACATGTAAAATTGGAGATATACATTTAAAAAAATTTGATAGATAAATGTTCTTGTTTGGAGATTACATGAGAGCCTAAAATTTAAGGATACAATGGGAAACTTTGATTGGTATCATTGCCTAACTGGATTCTCCACTTGAAACTTAATCAACACAGCGTTGAGTTTAAAATTTCACTAATGTAGCATTATTTTCTCAGTAGTTATCACTTGTGAAAATGATTCTCACTTGACATAAAGTAGAGAAAAAAAAACAAACCCACATCTAATTGGAAAAGATTAGGGCCCTTCTTTATACCTTTGCATTAATAATTAATGAAAAACTAACTAAACCTAATGAAGGCACTATTGTAAACAGCAATGCATACCTTATGTGCACCCTCACCTCAAAAAAAATTTGCCCCTAGGAACTAAGAATTATACTATGGCCCTTTTCAAAAAGTAAACTAAAAGAATCTTATCATTAAGAAGAGAACTGAATTACGGACCCTAAATATATACTGACAAAATAAACTACTTGTCATTAGTACTTTGAAATTTCCCAAACTATAAATGCAGTAGTCTTTGAAAAGCCTACTTAATCACCATAAAGTTAAAGTAGCTAAGACATTTACCAGTGGTTCTTAAATGAGAATGTACATGAGAATAATCTGGCATTAGTTAAAACACAGTGCTGCTCCAAATCCACACTGCCTGTGGGTCTGGAATGGGGCCCAAACACAATTCTAAGGTCTTTTAGGGTGATACTGAAAGCTGCAGATGCAGGGGCTACTTTCTGAGAACCACTGGCCTAAATCATTAATGGTACATCGGCACAACCCTAACCAAAATTTTGGTCAAGACGTATGTAAACTAATGAAGAGAGAATAATGCTTCGAAAGAACACTGATTGATTCACCCTATTACATCAGAACATCAACATCTGCTTCATGGTCTTCCTCAGTCACTTTCAAGGAGAGCACCTCTTCATTAAGGAAGAGCCCACTGAGCCTCTCCTTCCGCGCCTGCCTCTGCTCCTTCAGCTGCCTCTTGCGGAAGGCCTTCTGCTGTAGTTTTCGCTGCTTGGATCGCTTCTGTTAAAGAGACAGAGGAAAGGTCAGAGGTCAGTAAAGTTTAGACATTGCTGTATGCAGCCCTGGGTTGGTGGATCTAATTCTCTACTTTCGAAATTTTAACTTGTTCAAATTTCTCTACAGAGTGATTCTCATACCAATAAGTAAGCCATTGGCTTAAATGTTTTTTTTAAAAAAAAAAGTCTTAAGATTCTATTTTTAGGGCATTAGACTAGTGACTCTTTTGGCTAGGAAGGGCTGATAATTGGTTATTTGGGATAGCTATAGATAACAAGATACCCTGAAAAAAATGTATTTTTAAATAGAATTATGTGTACTGGTATTAACATAGCAAAAATAAAACACTAGGACACAAAACTGAATATAAAATGCAGAAAACATTGCCTAAATCCCTAATGCTTATGCTTTCAAGGTACATTTTACCCCAGAGAACTAAAAGATTTTCTGGTGGCTGTGAAAAAATCATTCCTTCATAATATTAGGCAACTGCTATCTGAAAAGCCTGTTAGGAACCCAGTAGATATTCAATCCTCATCACTGGTAAACCAAAAGGGAACTGCCACATGGACAGTGAAATTCCTTGGCAACTAATAAGGATGCCTTTGTTTCTTCCATTTTGACACAAACAAAACAAAAAATAAACAAACAAAATGAAGCAAAATGGGGGAGGAATCATTGTGTATCTTCTGATCACTAATGGGCTCCCAAAGAGATTCTCCTTTTATCTTTAAATTGATCTAGTCTGTGCCACTGCAAGGAACATACTCCCATGCTAAGCCACATAACTATTCCATGTACACTTTGACTTTCTTTTACAAGTGCTCAACAGTAAGTTTCAACTATGGAAGAAGAGAAAAGAATTATGGAAAGCCTTATAGTTTTTGATTAGTCAAAAAACAATTAAGGTTGAAACATCAAGAAAACTCTAAAAATACACACACACACACACACACACACACACACACACACACCTACACTAAAGACCTACACAACAGTTTTAGGATCTAATAAATAGAAGTTTAAGCAAAGGAGTATTGATGCTAATATTGAAAGGTAAAGTTTCATATTAATTAGATATTTTACTTTTGAATCCCGAATCCGCTCTGCTGCACTTGCAGATAGGTTGCTGTCACTGTGTGCTCGACTCATGTTGGCACTGGAGTTTGAAGCAGAATTTCCAACACTGGACCCACTGCTACTTGCAGAACTGACCATGCTGGCACTGCTGCTGCTGGCACTGGCGCTGGTACCGCTCACTCCACTGGTGCTTGCACAGCTAAAGTTGCTTCTCTTCCAGGCCTCCCTTGTAGGCCGCTGACGAAGGCTATGCTCCTTGATATAGTTTCTGACCTTGGGACACACAGGCAAGCACTGGTGAGTATTGTACCTTGATATTCTACCCTCAAGATACTATGTCCAAAGTGCTTTAAATGTATAAGAGATATCTAAATATAGAAATAAATACCAAGTCAGGTACATTAATTCTGCCCAGTCTGAGCTTAATATTAGATTCAAGGCCAGTCTGGGCTATAGACTGAGACTTTGAAAACAATACCCAAAAGATGAGCAGAGGGAAACAGTATGAAAGAAGGGAAGGGAAGAAAGGAAAAACTAAAAAATTAGCAGTATTCAAAACTCTGGCAAGCACATAGACCTATATTTCAAAATTATAAAATATTATGTAGCAAATGCTACTGGCTTTCAGAATTTGAATTTTAAGAACACTAAAATGAAAACAACAAAAATAAAACAGATGTGGTTATACATTTTCAAACGTTTCCACTAAAGATTTAAGGAAATTTATGACTCTGTCTCTGATGAGTGTGCGTTTCCCCCTTAATTTTAGTGAGGGGCACAATGGTACCTGATTTCAAATGTACTACATCAACTTTCCATACTGGAGAAAACCAGCTGAAAAGTGGAAAAATATTCCTGTTGTGAGAAATGAGGGACTTTTCACCAGTGCTAAACATAAGACAGCAAAAAGAAAGAATGTAAAACATTTCTGTTAGTGCATGTACCAAAGCAGAGGTGTAGTAAAAATGATCAGAAATGTATATCTCAAAGCACCTGCCCAGGCTTAGTTATTCTATCAGTGTGACTCTTGTTGAGTAGGACTTGGGAGTTTCCTGTAGGATTTCATGTACTCTAGGCTGGCCTTGAAGTCCCTAACTAGTCAAGGAACTTCTCACCCTTCCAGCTCTGCATTCCAAGTGCTAGGATTACAGGTGTCTGTTACCACTCCAGGTTGTAGTTAGTACTTTGAGTCTGACAATTCATCTGTTTTAAACTGAGCACAAACTCTGGACTTTAGTCCAAGCCAACCTTTAAATGGTAAAATAAGTTTCAAGATCTAGATAACTAAAAGCAAAGTCTAGATCTTCACTGATCAGAACAGTATTACTATTTCAGACACATAAAACATCTTGAAACCATATATTCTCAAATACTATTGTCATTTTTTTTTTTTGGCAGTAGTAGGGGTTGAATTCATGGCTCTGTGCTTGCTACAGTGGACCACTGAGCTACAAATTTTAGCATCATTTTCTTTCTAATGTTACATTTCACAGCAGTGATTCTTGATAGCCTATGAGTATACATATGATTACATAAGCCTACGCTTTATAAGCTGTGGGTGTCTTCAGTAGATCAACTATATTTACTTTACATACCTGCTTCAGTTTTTCATCTGTGAGACAGTTAAGTTCAATAATAAACTCACTGTCTGTAGGGGAGATCTGAGCAGAAGGATCAATGATTTTAATAATGTCCAGTTGCTCCCGAAGGCCCATCTCAGTACTGACTTTACGGCTCAGATACTCAATATATTCCACCTATGTGAGGAAGTACAACAGACAATGTCAGTGTGAAAACCTAACCTTTGCTATGTGAATTGTGACACGTTTTAGACCTTCGAAGAATTGTTTTGCCCGAGGCCCCAATAAAGAATTAACCATTGTCTAAACAAGAAAGCTGACTGTTACTTAGGATCATTGCTAAGATGTCATAATTTCACTTGTTTCCTGGAAAAAAAGTTGGAAGCTCAATTTTAGACTTATTAACCAATTCACATAATCCACTGGCTACAAAGAGGTAATAAAGGGGGCCTCAACATCCTCCCTACATGTAAGTTCTTTTCCACATAAACTTTTAATTAAGAATGTCAACATCCAAGACTGTCACATATTTACCTGCTCATCATTTGTCATTGCACTCCAAGCAAGCTCATCTAGATTCCGGTGCTTGTTTTTCTTTTTAGAAACCAGGCAAGGTGAACTTGGAATACTGGGTATGACATCAGAAAGTACATCGCTTCCACTGGCAATGTCACTGCCTGGTAACTTATAAAAGGAAGAAAGACTGAGGTTACGAAAATTAAACATGGCAAACTGCATTTTAAATATGTTAACACATTTTATACATCAATTAAAAGTTACTTTAGCCAGGCATAGTTGGTGCACATGTAATACTCAGGAAGTAGAGTGAGGATGACCAGTAGTCTAAGGACAACCAGAGCAAAATAACCAGCCTCAGGTCACCCTCAGTTATAGAAGGTTGCGTGTTAAAAATAAAACACAAGACTAAGCATAAATAAATATATAATCAGAGGATCTTTCATGTAAGAGTAATACTGAGATATCCAAATCCTGCTGGGAGAGAGCTGGTCTCCCAGCAGTGCTGACACACCTGTGAGCACAGGTAAGACCACCACTTCTGCTACAAGGGTCCAGCCTGGAGCCCTCACGGCACAGAAACCAAGGAGCAACCTGAGACAGCATCCTTCCAGTTTCCGTCTGTGCCCCGAGCTGATCCTGTACCACAGCTCTCCTTATCCAAATCCCACCAGGAGTGAGCTGGTCTCTCAGGAATGCTGACACACCCAAGTGCACAGGTAAGACCACCAATTCTGCTCAAATTCCTGGCACAAGAGGAACCCACACAAAGCTATCAGGACACAGGAACCAAGGAACAGCCCGGGGCAGGATCCTTCCTGTTTCCGTCTGCGCCCGGAGATGATCCCGTCACAGCTCGCCACACCCAAATTCCTCCCATAGAGAACTGGTCTCCCAGGAGCAAGACTGGGACAAGCAACAGTCAGAAAACAGCAGGACCAACTGATATCAGAGATAACCAGAAGGCAAGAGGCAAGGGCAAGAATATAAGCAACAGAAACCAAGGCTACTTGGTATCATTAGAACACTTCTGCCACTACAGCAAGCCTTGGATATCCCATCACACCGGAAAAGCAAAACTCTGAGTTAAAATCACATTTCATGATAATGACGATAGAGGACTTTAAGAAGGACATAATTAACTCCCTTAAAGAAATACAGGAGAACAGAGGTAAACAGGTAGAGGCCCTTAAGGAGGAAACACAAAAATCCCTTAACGAATTACAGGAAAACACAACCAAACAGGTGAAGGAATTGAATCAAACCATCCAGGATCTAAAAATGGAAGTAGAAACAATAAAGAAATCTCAAAGGGAGACTACCCTGGAGATAGAAAACCTAGGAAAGAGATCAGGAGTCATAGATGCAAGCATCATCAACAGAATACAAGAGATGGAAGAGAAAATTTCAGGTGCAGAAGATACCATGGAAAATACTGACACAACTGTCAAAGAAAATGCAAAACACAAAAATCTCCTAACTCAAAACATCCAGGAAATCCAGGACACAATGAGAAGACCAAACCTAAGGATAATAGGTATAGATGAAAGTGAAGATTCCCAACTTAAAGGGCCAGTAAATGTCTTCAACAAAATTAAAGAGGTAAACTTCCCTAACCTAAAGAAAGAGATGTCCATGAACATACAAGAAGCCTACAGAACCCCAAATAGGCCAGACGAGAAAAGAAATTCCTCCCATCACATAATAATCAAAACATCAAATGCACAAAACAAAGAAAAAATACTAAAAGCAGTAAGGAAAAAAGGTCAAGTAACATATAAAGGCAGACCTATCAGAATTACACCGGATTTCTCACCAGAGACTGTAAAGCCAGAAGATCCTGGACAGATGTCATACAGATCCTAAGAGAACACAAATGCCAGCACAGGCTACTATACCCAGCAAAACTCTCAATTATCATAGATGGAGAAACTAAGATATTCCATGACAAAACCAAATTTACACAATATCTTCCCATAAACCCAGCACTACAAAGGATAATAGATGAAAAACTCCAACATAAGGAGGGAAACTATACCCTAGAAAAAGCAAGAAAGTAATCTTTCAACAAACCCAAAAGAAGATAGCCACACAAACCTAATTCCACTTCTAACAACAAAAATAAGAGGAAGCAACAATCACTTTTCCTTAATATCTCTTAACATCAATGGACTCAGTTTCCCAATAAAAAGACATAGACAACAGACTAGATAAATAAACAGGACCCAGTATTTTTCTGCATACAGGAAATGCATCTCAGTGACAAAGACAGACACTACCTCATAGTCTAGTAGTTCCTTAGAAAGTTGAACATAGTACTACCTGAGGACCCAGCTATACCACTCCTAGGCATACACCCAGAAGATGCTCTAACATGTAATAAGGACACATGTTCCACTATGTTTATAGCAGCCATATTTATAGTAGCCAGAAGATGGAAAAAACCCAGATGTCCCTCATCAGAGGACTGGATTCAGAAAATGTGGTACATTTACACAACGGAGTACTACTCAGCTATTAAAAACAATGACTTCATGAAATTTGCATGCAAATGGATGGAACTAGAAAATATCCTGAGTGAGGTAACCCAATCACAAAAGAACACAGATGGTATGCTTTCACTGCTAAGTGGATATTAGGCAAAGAGTGTGGAATACCCATGATACAACTCAGGACCACATGAAGCTCAAGAGGAAGAAAGATCAAAGAGTGGATGCTTCAGTCCTACTTAGAAGGGGGAACAAAATAATCAAGCAGATGGTGGGAGGGACTTGGCAGGAAGAGGGGAAAAAAGAGGAGAAAAATCAAGTATGGGAGGAGATGTACAAAGGGTCAGAAAATTGAACAGAGAGGTGTGTAACAATAGGGGATGGAGAAACGGAGGTAGCAACCAGAAAGTCCTAGATGGTAGGAAAGCAAGAGGGTCCCAGGATTCCACAGGGATGACATTAGCTGAAATACCCCACAAAGGGGAGGGAGAACCTGTAGAGACCATATCATGTAGAGACCATGCATGAAAATGAACTTTCTAAAAAGCATGAATCATAACTAAGAATTACTAAATTGCTACTCTAAGTTTTAATAATCACTAAGGTTTTTAATTTATAGCCACAGTATTATCAGGCCATAGAACACGAATTAAGCAGGAGTTAGGGATCTCTATCACAGCAGACCTGAATGATCTGCCACTTACTGATCAGTAAGTAAGAGTCAGTAAGAGACCCTTTCTCAAAGGGTAAGGTGGATGGTATTCCCAAGTATAACACCTGAGATTAGCCTCTGAATTCTACATGCATGTGCACATACGTGCGCGCGCGCGCGCACACACACACACACACACACACATACAAATGCACATTGAAATTAGCATGAACACACACAAACAAATACCTATACTTGGGCTTGAGAGACCTGAGTTCCATTCTTAGCATCTACATGATGGTTTGCAACCATCTGGAACTCCAGTTCCAGGGGATCTGATGCTCTGACTTGTGTGGCCACCAAACATTCACATGGTAAACAGATTTACATGCAAAACATTCATAAACATAAACTAAAAAAATCTAAAAATATAAAATACCTATACTTTCAAAAGTTAAGAAAATTTTCTTTTAATATCTGGAGACTCTTTGGGGGGTAAAGCTATAGGACATGCACTTAATTTCACCTTTGGTTTTCTTTGTTGTGAGAGATAAGGTAGTATAAAAAAAAGTAATAAATAGTAGTTTTTGTAATTTTTTAGGGGGAAGTTAAAAACAGCCTAGAATTAATTGATTGATTGATTTTTTTGTAGATAAAATATCACGCTATGTGTACAGCAATGTGGAGCTCTCAATATATAGCCCAGGCAGTCTTGTCCCTCCTGCCTCACCCTCTGCAGGTATAGAGAAGTGGCACCATACCTGGCGATCTTATGAGTCAGATTCTTGAGCAAAAAAAAAAAAAAAAAGCGGTTGATGTCACCAACTTCAAAGGAGACTCAGAAGCTTAGAAAACACAAGTGACACTTGGTAAAATGCACTGTCTTTTTCCATTCTTTGTCATGGTTTCTGATCACTAAAAAGGTAGTAAAAGACCCTAAAGAACGCTAAAATTGACCCTAAAGAATGCTAAATTGATTGGCTTATTTTTTCTTAACAAGGCAGTATTCAATGACATTGAAGGCTTAATAGAATTTTCACTTCTAGCAGACTAGAAGTAAAATAGAGGCAGGAGAGCAGGTCAGCTAGCTCTGGGGCTTTGTGTTCCAGAAACTTGACTGACCACAAGGTGGATGATATGGTTGAATAAGATTGAGTTCTTATGAACAGGATGTTTCCCACATGCTATGATCATTTCTTGAACCCTGTTATACCTGTCATAGGCTGAATTGTATATGCTGAATAATGGCTTGGGACTTTACGTTGTATTGTCTGCTGGATTTTTCCAGAGACCCCCCCACTCTCTGGTTTGTGATTTTTTCCTTTAAATATCCTACACTCCCCTAGCTAGGGGTTGAGCTTCTCTACCCCTGCGTGGGTTACGAGACTCGACCTCAGAGCACTGATTGAAATATACCTCTTGCTGATTGCAACAAGGATCGGTGTCTTGTGAGTCATTGGGTGGTTGTGATCTCTTGTGGCTTAAGTGGGGGGTCTCCCCTCCCCGAAGGCCTTTCATTTGGTGCGTTGGCCAGGAAATTGCTACCACCCTAGTCTCCAAGAACCCACTTGGAGGTAGGATTTCACTTGTTTTGTTCTGTCATTGTGGGCCTGTCTGCTTGTCTGATTGCTCAGTTTCTGAAAAGTGCACTTTCAGTTTACAGCCATTCCTTTCGCAAAGAAATGAAAGGAGTGGTCGGCAGATGTGCTGGGAGGATCACTGGTCAGGGAAGCCTGGGTGACTCCTGTCTGGAGGCTGAGGAAGGTACCATGGTCCTGGCAGAGTGGAGGACCTCAGTAGATTTCTGGCTGTCTTTTTTTTCTGGAGTGGTGCTGACATTCGCGATTGAGACGAGGTTTTATTTGTTATTTTGTGTGTGTGTTTATTTTGTCTGTGTTTTGTGCTATTCATGAACATGGGACAAACCGTAACAACTCCTTTGAGTTTGACTCTGGACCATTGGACTAATGTATGAACTAAAGCTCATGACTTGTCAGTTGAGGTTAAGAAAGGACCGTGGCAGACTT